TGGCGTGGCATGACATGGCATGGCGTGGCATGGCATGGCATGGCATGGCGTGGCATGACATGGCATGGCGTGGCATGACATGGCATGGCGTGGCATGGCATGGCATGGCATGGCGTCGCATGACATGGCATGGCGTGGCATGGCATGGCATGGCATGGCGTGGCATGACATGGCATGGCATGGCATGGCGTGGCGTGGCATGACATGGCATGGCGTGGCGTGGCGTGGCGTGGCATGACATGGCATGGTGTGGCGTGGCATGACATGGCATGGCGTGGCGTGGCAGAGCATGCAGCGCACCATGTAGCCGAGGTCTGCCGGGGAGAAGTAGACGATGGAGTGGCATGGCAGCTTGTCCCTGCCCGCCCTCGCACTCTCCTGGTGGATACACGGTGAACGGTGGAGGGAGGAGGGAGGAGGGAGGAGGGAGGAGGGAGGAGGGAGGAGGGTGTGAGGGTGGAGGAGGAACGGGAGGCGGCAATGGGAGATACAAACAAGTGAAGTCGACCCAGGGATGAGAGGGAGCGACTGTGAAATAAAGGAGAAAACATGTGGTGCTGGCAGGCATGTGGCATGGCATGTGCAGCGGATGCACTGGGTGCATGGATGCATGGATATGCGCATGCAGGGGGCGCTGACCTGGTAGAGGCTCTCCATGGACTTGGGCATGCTGTAGTGGATCACATACCGCACTGTGCTCCGTAAATGGGAGGGGGACAACAGGGAACGGGAGAGCACCAGAGGGGAGGGGAGGGGAGGGGAGAGGAGGGGAGGGGAGGGGAGGGGAGGGGAGGGGAGGGGAGGGGAGGGGAGGGGAGGGGAGGGGAGGGGAGCGGAGGGGAGGGGAGGGGAGGGGAGGGGAGGGGAGGGGAGGGGAGGGGAGGAGACAGGAGGGGAGGAGAGGGGAGGGGAGGGGAGGGGAGGGGAGGGGGAGGGGAGGAGAGGGGAGGGGAGGGGAGGGGAGGGGAGAGGAGGGGAGGGGATGGGAGGAAATGGGAGGGGAGGGGAGGGGAGGGGAGGGGAGGGGAGGGGAGTGGATGCGTTTGCTCTTGACTTTGTTCTTATCAACAAGGGACTCTATGCTATGTATGTTGATGTTATTAGTGCTTGTGGTAACTGTGCAGTAGCGCCGAGTCACCAACCGTCCGATTACACAGATTGTACAATAGTGTCAATGGGTGCAGCATCGCCGACCTTGCGATAGCGCCAATCGTCAGACTCCTGCAGAGAAACGAGGATGGGTTGTTCCCAAAGAAATAAGGTATGAAAAGTACTCCATCAATCTGGAGATGCTCGAGGTGAGGACGATGTTTGACTCCAGCGTGGCGTGAGGAGAGGGCAGGTAGGAGGAGGCTCGTTCTCCCAGGGAGCAGACGTATCATTCCCAAGCCAGTCCCCCCTAGTCCCTCCCGTTCACATGCTCAGCAGCAGCAACATCTAGGTTCCACGTGTCATTTTTGTTTTGGTATGTATGTTTTATACATATGGTTATAGGCTAGACTAGCTTAATTTTTAGGGAGGATCCCTTGACAACTTTTTCACCTCGATACTTGACATCGTAGAAAGCTAGGTCGATGTTTTTCCTTAGCTTCCTCCGTGCCTAGCCCGAACCTAGCCCGAGCTTAGATGTAATGCGGCCATGTTCCCGTCGCCTAACACGCTCCCTCGCGGGCCCCGTTTCGTAGCCCTTTCAGAGGCCCTCTCGCGGGCCCGTTTCGTCGCCTAAAGAGCCCCCGCAGGCCGCGTTCGTTGCCCGTTAGAGGCCCCCGCGGGAAGCGTTTCATCGCCCGTTAGAGGTCCCCGCGGGCCGCGTTTCTTCGCCCGTTAGAGGCCCTCGCGGGCCGCGTTTCGTCACCCGCACCCGCGGGCCGCGTTTCTTCGCCCGTTAGAGGCCCTCACGGGCCGCGTTTTGTCGCGCGTTAGAGGCCCCCGCGGGCCGCGTTGCGTCGCCCCTAAGATCCCCCGCGGGCCCCGCGTTTCTTCGCCCATTAGAGGCCCCCGCGTGCCCCTTCTCGTTGCCCGTAGCGCGATCGCAACCGTGCGCAGCCGCATCCGCCTGCAGCCCGCAGCCCGCAGACCACAGCCCGTCCTCCCCCCCCAGCCCGCCGCCGCCGCCACATTTACTGCTGCAGCTTGACGCCGCCGCGTTTACTGCTGCAGCCCGCCGCCGCCGCGTTAGATGCTGCAGCCCACCGCCGCCGCGCCCGTTACTACAGCCGCTACAGCCACTGCCGCCCCTACTACAGCCGCTCCCGCCCCTACTACAGCCGCTCCCGCCCCTGTTACAGCCACTACTGCCCCTGCCCCAGCTGCTACAGCCACTGCCGCCCCTACTACAGCCGCTCCCGCCCCTGCTACAGCCACTACTGCCCCTGCTCCAGCTGCTACAGGCACTGTCGCCCCTACTACAGCCTCTCTCGCCCCTGCTACAGCCACTATTGCCCCTGTCGCCCCTGCTACTGTCGCTACAGTCACTGCTGCCCCTGCTACAGCTGCTGCCGCCCCTGCTACAGCCGCTACAGCCACTGCCGCCCCTGCAATAGTGGCAACGGATGCAGCATCCACAACCGTGCGATATCGCCAATCGTCGGACTTTTGCAGAGAAACGAGGACGGGCTGTTCCCGAAGAAAGAAGATTAAGAAAGCAAAAGTACTACGTTACTTGGAGATGCTCAAGGCGAGGTGACTTTTGAGTCGACTCAAGAAAAGCGAGGACGGGCTGTTCTTGAAGAAAGAAGAAGAAAGCAAAGAAAGCAAAAGTACTACGTTACTCTGGAGATGCTAGAGGCGAGGACGATTTCCGACTCCAGCGGTGATGGCGTGGCGAGGCGGGAGGAGAGGGAATGCAGGCAGCACGCAGGCAGGAGGAGGCTCGTTCTTCCCCCGGGAACGATGGTGGGATCGGAGCAGGTTTTGGGGAGGGTGGTGATGTCGGGTTGGACCAAGGCGGGAGCCCAGGCTCGGAGAAGCCCAAGCCAAGTCGTCCTGTGGTTTGGAACAAGATTTCGTTTGAGCTCCAGGTTCTGTACGAGATTGTTGTTGTTAAGCGCGCTCGGCCGCACTTAGAGAATGAAGTGATTTCTGCCGCTATCGTATCAGGGATAAGTACGCGGTTGATACGTCCCCAAGGACGATTGGGAATATCGGGGAGGAGAGTGATAAGTGGTTTAGGCTGGCTGCAGGGGTGGTCTCAGATCCTCACCAGTCTCGAATGGAGGAGGCACTAGCAGAGTGGGTAACTAAAGAGGAGGAGACGGAGATAGGACCGGAATATAAGATGTGGCCGGGTTTCAGGTCATGGGCGACGTGGCTTATGAAAAGGTTTGAGCTGCTGCTGCCGTCGGAGACTAGAACCGAGGATTCTGATAACGAGGATGAGAGAGGAGCGGGAGGAGAGGGAGGCGACGGTGATGATGATGAGTGGTTTGAGAGAGGAGGAGGGGGAGGAGGAGGGGGAGGAGGAGGAGGAGGAGGCCAGACAGGGAGTGATATGTGGGCCAGCGAGGGAAGAAGGCAAGGGATTGATAGAGAGTCTAGGGGAGAGGAGGAAGGGCAGGGGGATGAGGACAGTAGGGGAGGGGAGTTGGGAGGCGAGGAGGAGGAGGGGGAGGAAGAGGCGGACGAAGAGGGCGGATCGGGCTGCAGGGCAGGTGTTATGTGAGTTGGCAGGGGTAGGAGGTGCGGGTACAGTAGGGCATGGGAAGAGAGGGGGCGGAAAGAGATGGAGGGAAAGGAGAAGGGGGCGGAGACGGGGAGGGCGGGGGAAAAGACGGGGAAATGGAAGGGGACGGGGATAGGGAAGGGGACGGGGATAGGGAAGGGGACGGGGAAAGGGAAGGGAAAGGGGAAGGGAATGGGGAAAGGGACGGGGACGGGGACGGGGAAAGGGAAGGGGAAGGGGAAGGGGAAGCCGGAGGTGGAGTGAGTAGCCCTGAGCCTGCTCACGAGGATGCAAGATTAAGGGTTTCTTCTAGGGTAAATAGCCCTTGGTATGTGGATATTTTGAATGAGCTGTTTGAAGAAGTGGGGGTAGATGGAATTGGCACAAATGGAGATGGTGGGAGGGGGAGAGAGGGGGGGGTGGAGGGGTAGGAGGGCGGAAATGAGGGACTAGAGGAGGGAAGGGTGGGGGACGAAGGTGAGAAGACAGCAGGGGAGGGGCCAGAGGTTGTGAGGCAGGCTTCTGATTTAGCTGCTACTGCTGCTGCTACTGATGCCGATGGTGCTGCTGCTGCCGATGGTGCTACTGATGCCGATGGTGCTGCTGCTACTGATGGTGCTGCTGCTGCCGATGGTGCTGCTGCTGCCGATGGTGCTGCTGCTGCTGCTGCTGCTGCTGCTGACGGCAGTCCTGGTGATACCACAGCTGCAGCAGGAACAGGAAAGAGAAGAACCAAGCGGGTTAGGTGGGAGGACGAGCAGCAAGAGGGGCGAGACGAGGAGAGGGGAACCGGGGTGAGGGAGGCGAGAGAAGGGAATGTAAGCCATGAGGTTGTAGCTACCGCACGGATCCTTAGCGCTGACGATGCGACGCGACAGCAGCCGGTGCAGCCCAAACCCCGAATCTCTGGCGGAACGTTGCGGGAGACGGCGATGGAGGTAGAGAGGGAGAAAGAGAGGCAGACGGAGGGGGAGACGGATGAGAGGGGAATGAAGAGGAGGGAGACGGCGATGGAGGTGGAGAGGGAGAAAGCGAGACAGGCGGAGGAGGACGAGAGGCCGTTTTTTATTTTTGGGGGAATGGACGATAGAGAGTTCCCGATTTTCTATCTTCGATACAGGAAATACCTGACTACTGACGTGGGATGTCCATGCACACTTTGCGAGCTATCGGACCGCAATGCAGAGGCGTTTGAAAGACAAACAACAGGAGGAGGTGTGGATGCGCCGGGCACGCTGATTTGTGAGCTGATTGGGGAAGTGCTTGACAGTGAAATGGCCCAGATGCTGCTGAGGGGGAAGAGTGGCTCATGCATTGGATGGGTGCCCTGTGCGAGATTATGGAGAGAGTGGACGATACGGTAGTGGACGAGAGACTGTTCAAGAGGGAATTGGGCGAGAGGGCAGTGGACGAGAGGGAAGTGGCCGAGAGGGAAGTGGGCGAGAGGGAAGTGGGCGAGAGGGAAGTGGGCGAGAGGGAAGTGGGCGAGAGGGAAGTGGGCGAGTGGGAAGTGGGCGAGAGGGAAGTGGGCGAGAGGGAAGTGGGCGAGAGGGAAGTGGGCGAGAGGGAAGTGGGCGAGAGGGAAGTGGGCAAGAGAAAAGAGCTGCTAATGAAGTGGAGGTATGCCGTGTGCAAGATTTCGGGCGAGAGACTATGTGAGAGGGTAGTGGACGAGAGGGAAGTGGGCGAGAAGGAAGTGGGCGAGAGGGAAGTGGGCGAGAGGGAAGTGGCCGAGAGGGAAGTGACCGAGAGGGAAGTGGGCGAGAGGGAAGAGCGACTCATGCAGAGGATGGGTGCCCTGTTCGAGATTCTGGCCGAGAGAGCGGTTGAAGGAGTAGTCGAGATACTGGGCGAGAGGGAAATAGACGTGGTGATGGTCGAGAGGAGGAGGAGGAGGAGGAGGAGGAGGAGGAGGAGGAGGAGGAGGAGGAGGAGGAGGAGGAGGAGGAGGAGGAGGAGGAGGAGGAGGACTCGTGGGACGTGATGGAGGACGTGGGGGAGGTCTCCCCGGCGGCCCAGCTGCAAGAAGCCACGTGTATAAAGGGTATTTTTGAGACGTCTCAAGAATACCCTTTATACTCGTCGGACGTGGTGGAGGTCTCCCCGGCGGCCCAGCTGCAAGAGGATGCGAAACCGCCCGCATGGCAGGGTGGGGTCAACGGTATGGGGAAGGGGAGATGGAGGAGTGGCACGGGGGCTGGGGGAGCGGTGGTGCAGGATGGGAGGGTCCGGGATGGTCGAGGGATCGAGGCGGGTGGGGGAGAAGTGGGGGAAGGTAGCATTGGAGGGAGGGAAGGGAGGCGGGGAGGAGGTGGGGGAATGCGTGGTGAGGAAGAGTCTGGTGGGATTTTAGAAAAGGCAGAGGGAGCAAAAGGGGTGGATGGCTGGGTAGGCAGAGGAGGACGTGCAAGGGGAGCGCGTCAAGCGGTGGGGCGTGGAAGAGGAGAGGTTGTGGGTGCAGCGGGGGGTGGATTAGACACGGAGGGAGACGGAGGGGGGGCAGAGTGTGGGAGGGGAAGAGGAGGTAGAGGAGGAGACAGGGGAGGCAAGGAGGACAAGGGAGGGGGGGAGGAAGGCAGGGGGACAGGAGTGGAGGTCGGGAGGGCGATAGGGGGTGGAGAAGGAGACTTTATGGGTGCAGGGGAGGGTTTATGGGCGGAGGCAGGCGCAGACCGAGGATGGGGAGTGAGAAGGAGGAGGAGCAGGGGCAGGGAGGGAGGCGGGGGCAGCAGAGAAGGCAGGGGGAGAGGAAAGGAGGTGAGGGGGGCGGTGGGGGGTGTTCGTCCAGGGGCGAACGCAAACACGTTCGTGTTCGCCTCTTTCTCATCCCTAGTGGGGGGTGTTGGAGGTGCTGCAGTGGGTGCAGTTGGAAATGGAGAGGCGCAGGGAGAAGAGGTGGGTGGTGCGGCAAGGGACGGATGGCTTGTCTGGGATTCGTCCTATAGGGCGTCGCCTGAGGCGGTAGCGGCAGACGGAGTAGGGGGAGGGAATGAGAGGGAGGGGGAGCGGAGGCAGGGAGAGAGGCGGGAGGACCAGAGAAGGCTATAGGGCGTCGCCTATGGCGGTAGCAGCAAACGCGGGCAGCACGCACAGGTGCATTGGTGTGCAGGAGGGGTCTCCCCTCCTGGAGGAACCACACCAGCATTCTGCTGCATGTGGCCTTGCTCCAGGAGCAGTTGCAGCACGGACTCTTCGCTTGCCCACCGGCCCTCTTTGCTTGCCCACCGGCCCTCTTTGCTTGCCCACCGGCCCTCTTTGCTTGCCCACCGGCCCTCTTTGCTTGCCCACCGGCCCTCTTTGCTTGCCCACCGGCTTGCCCACCGGCCCTCTTTGCTTGCCCACCGGCCCTCTTTGCTTGCCCACCGGCCCTCTTTGCTTGCCCACCGGCCCTCTTTGCTTGCCCACCGGCCCTCTTTGCTTGCCCACCGGCCCTCTTTGCTTGCCCACCGGCCCTCTTTGCTTGCCCACCGGCCCTCTTTGCTTGCCCACCGGCCCTCTTTGCTTGCCCACCGGCCCTCTTTGCTTGCCCACCGGCCCTCTTTGCTTGCCCACCGGCCCTCTTTGCTTGCCCACCGGCCCTCTTTGCTTGCCCACCGGCCCTCTTTGCTTGCCCACCGGCCCTCTTTGCTTGCCCACCGGCCCTCTTTGCTTGCCCACCGGCCCTCTTTGCTTGCCCACCGGCCCTCTTTGCTTGCCCACCGGCCCTCTTTGCTTGCCCACCGGCCCTCTTTGCTTGCCCACCGGCCCTCTTTGCTTGCCCACCGGCCCTCTTTGCTTGCCCACCGGCCCTCTTCGCTTGCCCACCGGCCCTCTTCACTTGCCCACCACCAGCCCTCTTCACTTGCCCACCACCAGCCCTCTTCACTTGCCCACCACCAGCCCTCTTCACTTGCCCACCACCAGCCCTCTTCACTTGCCCACCACCAGCCCTCTTCACTTGCCCACCAGCTTAGTTGGAGTATACGCGTTTCGCGTTCCATACGCTAGCATATAAAAGCTAGCGTTTAAACACTACACGCATTTTTAGAGGTGTACAAAACGCAGTGAAAACGCAGGCCCGAGCAGGTTAAAAGTTTTAGCAGGGCAGGAACGTACGGAGTCTAGCTTTAAGAACAAGGTCGTTGTGAAAATCTACATCAAAATTAAGCACTATTTCGACATTTCGCTCTATTTCGTCATTACGCACTATTTCGACATTAACAATGTCGACATCAAGAACGAGGTTGTCGCTGAGAACGGGGTCGCTGAGGTCGTTGCTGAGAACTAGGGAAGCCAACTCCACTCGACTTGATTGGGAATGAATGGGGTTGAGCGGGTTGTTCAACGGTAAACAGGAGGGGTTGTTGTGCATTGGCTTCAAAATTCGAAGTCGAAGTTGAGATCGCGAATCTGCGAAAACTTGATTTGAGTTCGCTACTTCGCGAGCTCAAACCCAACTTTAGGTTTTTTTTCAGCGTACGTATTTTTTGTGCGTTTATACTCGATACGGGAACTCATCTGAGCGTACACTCCAACTTAGCCCACCAGCCCTCTTCACTTGCCCACCAGCCCCTTCAAAGTGCACAACATGCCTTAAGGGAGGACAACAACCCCTTACTGACATGCCGCTTTTCCTTTCACCTCGATGCGCTGGGTATTAGCAGGGCAGGCAGGCCTGCACATGGCTGGTGTGGGTGGGATGGGGGTGGGGGAGAGGGGGGAGAGCATGTGGTTGAGTGGGGCAGCAGGCGGGGAGAATGAGAGGTGGCTTGGAAGGAGGAGAGGCACGAGAATGCCACAGAAGCACCACCACCATCATCACTCAGAACCCTTGGTGAGCTCACCAGTGCAGAGGCCGCTCCTCTTGGTGTAGCTGGCGTCACACTCGCAACTCCCCGCCCGCTCGTCTTTACAACGCACTTCAAGGCGTCACACAACTCACCAATGTACTGGCCTTTCTTCTTGGTGTAGCCGGCGTCACACTCGCAACTACCTTGGTCGCCCTTCACAGCACACTTGGAGTTCTTTCCTCACTTGAGTGTGCCCGTCTTACAAGGGTCTGCCGCTGCCATGGGTGGAGGAGGGAGGGCAGGAGATAGAGAAGCATTAGCCTGAGAAACGTGGCTGGTGTGGGCACCGAACTGGTACAAACGATGAAGAGGAGAGGGGTGGAACACACACACACTGTCTTGTATAGAGAGGCAGGGAGAGGCTTTAGTGAAGGGGGCTGAGGTTGTGCCCCACTTCCTTCTACCAGATTGGTGCATTGGGGCTGTTTTGCCAGAAAAAATACATGTGTGTGGGAACAGGCCGTCAAAGGGATGGTGGCAAAACAGAGGTTGTAACCCTGGGGTTGTGCGCATGCACTCGCACTTACCGATCTCGCATAGAGCTGCTTGTGGCATGTTTATGTTCTTAACAGTCCTGAGAGCGAGAAAGGTACGGGCAGGGAAGAGACACTCATGAGGAGGAATAACAGCATTATGGAATAGGGAATAAAATTCTAATGGTTTTGTATGCTCGAAGCGAAACAAACCGGAAGAAAGAACATGGCACCTAGCGCGCATCACACACCTTTTCGTGACAGGGTACACACCACCACCAACCCTTGGCAATTCAAACATACCGTACCACCCCGGATATAAGCGCAGGTGCGCTTATAATAAAACATTGATTTTTGGGGGGGTGCGCTTATAATTGAGTCACGGGTATAAGCGCATGCGCTTGTAATATGTAAAGAATGAAAATGACTTTAAACTATACCAAATTGAAGCCCACTGTAAGGCGAATGCAGCCGACCATGCATCACGTGGGGTCGTGCATGAATTACAGGCAAAAACAGCAACACGCCTCGGTTTCCCACCCCACAATTTCGTCTAGAAGCATCGCACATGCCAGCGATGACGTGAATCGTGCCGTGCGGCCCAGTCACAGCACCATGCGCTGCGTGGCATGTGAATTTCATCCGAACCCTCTCGAAGGGTGCTGAAGATTCCCTGCCAGCGCAACGATTATGCTGCCACGCAGGGTCCTCTGCGGGTTCAGGCGGGGGTTTCCCGCCTGCACCTGACGAGTACCCCGAGCCGCAAGCCCAGCAGGGGTCCCCTCCGCTTCCCATTTCTGCACCCCCACTTTCTGTTTTTCATTCAGTTTCTTGCTCTAGCTCGCCTGGCTGGCGAAGCCATGGCGGAATTCACCGGGACCCACTTCCTTTTTAAGAAGAAACCGAAGCGTGCGTGGCGATTAACCAACGACATGTGGTATACCCGTGAGCCACCAGAGCCCCTGAGCCACCAACGCTTCCAGTGCCTCCTGCACCGCCTGCTCCTCCTGCTCCTCCTTCTCCTCTCGCTCCTCATGCACCGCCTGTTAACTGTTCTGCGTACACGTGTAATAGGCCCGTGCTCCAGCTCCCGCTGCCAGCTACTTTCGACGAGTGGTTGTCTGAACCGGAGTCCAATAAGACCGTCGATGTGTACGTCCAAGCTTCACCACCGGGACCATGCTGGGGACAGCCCGAAGACCATGAGCGCGGTGCCAGCGCCGCGGACGACGACGGCGTGGAGTCTTGGTGGCGCGATGCCCCACGCAAGAAGATGCCGATTCCTTCATATCCTCTGATAAAAAAAAAAAAAACGTCCCCACCCCTCTGTTGAGAACCGGGATGCCTGCCCCTCCCCCAGGCATAAGCCGACACAACATAAGCGGCACTCGTACACTGCCTAGGAGACGCTCAAGTGGCTCTTGCGCTTGGAGCTTGCAGCATCGGTAAGCGAGTGTCAGAATGTATTTGCTGTCTAGCCTGCAGTGGGGTACTCTGTAGTGAGTACAACCCAATTTAGGGTTTGCTATTTGTATCCCAACCCTTGCTAGTGAAATCATCCTCCTTCCAATTCTCTCGATACTCAACTCTCTCGACATCCATGCTAGTACCTCGAACCCTAGCCATGGCTCCTAAGCCTAAGTCACTCTAGATTCTAACATGCTATCAGAGTAGGTCTTTCCCAGGACCTCACATAATGGGCCCACCACCTAATGCCCTGCTAGCCTAGGCCCCGGCCCGTCGCCCCTTGGCGTCGCCCCTAGCCCCTAGGCTCGGCCCCTTGGCCCCGTCGCCCCTAGCTGTGCCACTCGGCCCCGCGGCCCGTCGACACCCGCGCCCGGCCTCGTCCCTCGCCCAACGCCTGGCCCCGTACCTAGCCCGTGCCTGGCCCCGTACCTAGCCCGCGGCCCGTCGACGCCCGCGCCCGGCCCCGTACCTCACCCGCGCCCGGCCCCGTACCTAGCCCGCGCCCGGCCCCGTCCCTAGCCCACGCCCCGTCGACACCCGTGCCAGGCCCCGTACCTAGCCCGCGCTCGGCCCCGTTCCTAGCCCAGCGCCCGGCCCCGTACCTCGCCCGCGCCCGGCCCCGTACCTGCCCAGCGCCCGGCCCCATTCCTAGCCCAACGCCCGGCCCCGTACCTAGCCCGCGCCCGGCCCGTATCACGCCCGCGCCCGGCCCAGTACCTAGCCCGCGCCCGGCCCCGTTCCGCGCCCAGCGCCCAGCCCCGTACCTGCCCAGCGCCCGGCCCCGTACCTGCCCAGCGCCCGGCCCCGTCTCTAGCCCCGCGCCTGGCCCCGTTCCGCGCCCAACGCCCGGCCCCGTACCTGCCCAGCGCCAGGCCCTGTCCCTAGCCCAGCGCCCGGCCCCGTACCTAGCCCGCGCCCGGCCCTGTACCTAGCCCGCGCCCGGCCCAGTTCCTAGCCCGCGCCCGGCCCCGTACCTGCCCGCGCCCGGCCACGTACCTAGACCCGCGCACGGCCCCGTACCAGCCCGCGCCCGGCCCTGTACCTAGCCCGCGCCTGGCCCCGTACCTAGCCCACGCCCGGCCCAGTACCTAGCCCGCGCCCGGCCCCGTACCTAGCCTCGTGCCCGGCCCCGTTCCGCGCCCAACGCCCGGCCCCGTAGCTGCCCAGCTCCAGGCCCCGTCCCTAGCCCAGCGCCCGGCCCCGTACCTAGCCGCACCCCTCGGCCCCACTGGCCTCGTCGCCCCTAACTATGGCCCCTCGCGACCTGCAGCCCCTAACCGCGGCCCCGTCGCCTCTAGTCTCGGCCCCTCGCAACCCGTCGCCCCTAGCCGCGGCCCCGGTGCCCTGTCGCATCATGAAGGGTAAGGGGGTAGCAAGAGGGGGCTCTTCCTGCCCGCGTGCCCTGCAGTCGCACGCGCAGCTCCGCCCCCGCCCCCCTCCCCCCCCTCCCCCCCCTCCATGGGGACGGGGGGGAGAGGGTGTGAGGGGGTGGCGGATGTGCCTCAGCAGCAGCAGCTGCCGCCGCGCCTCCTCCTCTCTCTCTCCCTGCCGCACCTTGTGTTGGGAGAGGGGGGGGGAGCTTGGAGGTTCAGGGGGAGGCAGGAGGGGATCTGCAGCACCAGCCCCCCCCGCCCCCCCTTTCTCCTCCACCCCTGGGGGGTGAAGGATTGTGGAGCAGCAGTGGGGGGGAGGGGATCTGCAGCACCAGCCCCCCCCCCCCCGCGCACCCCCCACCCCCCTTCTCCTCAATCCCCCTGCTGCGGGTGCAGCAGTGGGGGGAGGGGATCTGCAGCACCATCTCCCCCTGCCCCCCCCCCCCCCCCCCCCTTCTCCTCCATCCCTCTGCTGCGGGTGCAGCAGTGGGGGGGAGGGGATCTGCAGCACCAGCCCCCTCCGCCCCCCCCCCCCCCTTTTTCTCCTTCATCCCCCTACTACAAATGCATCAGTGGGGAGGGGGGGGGGGGGGGGGAGGGGGTATGGGGGTGGCGGGATCTTGGAGGCTACAGGGGTGGCAGGAAGGGATCTGCAGCACCAGCCCCCCCCCCTGCCCCCCCCCCCCCTTCTCCTCCATCCCTCTGCTGCGGGTGCAGCAGTGGGGGGGAGGGGATCTGCAGCACCAGCCCCCCCCCCCCCCCCCCCCCCCCCCCCCCCATCCCTCTGCTGCGGGTGCAGCAATGGGGGGAGGGGATCTGCAGCACCAGCCCCCCCCCCCCCCCCCCAGCCCT